TAGGTTTAATATTCCATAGAGATCATCCAGTTTTTAGAGTATGACCAGAATCTATATTAGAGGCAGTAATGTTTAGCCGAAGTTAAGCTAAAAATTAAAAACATGTTCTTCCTATTACCATTACCCGAATTACCCTTCACATGTATTGTTATATTCCAACATGATATGAAAGTATCAGCATACACATGATTAATCTCAATCGCTTGTAATCATCCGCAAAATACTTGCTTTAATTAATCTACCACCCATCTGGAATCGTAAGTTTATGAGTACACTCCACAATCTACAGTTAATGACAATAAATTGTTCACTCTACCCTTTGCAGAGAATGTCATATTCATTTTATGACAAGAAAAAAAGCAAACAATTCGGTGATGAAAATTACCATTGACTTGTATAATAAATGTCGTTCCCGTTTTATTTTTCAGCGACACGAAAATTAATTTCTTAAACACTTTTTGTTCACTTTATTATGGAACAAACATAATAAAACACAAAACAAAACAAAAAATCGCTCTTTAACAATTTGCCAAATTGCAATTCATTGCAAAAGACATCCCTCCCACTTAAAGTTTCAATTCATGAGTTTATGACAATAATTCAGTATAAAAAGCAAGACGTACAAAAGGTGAGCTGGGAACAAAAGAAGAAAAACAAATTAAAACCTGCAAGGGACCAGAGAAATTGGTGACTGACTGACTTATTATGATTGAAACTGTGATTGTGTGTTTTTTCATTTCATACTTTATATTTTTCTTAATAAACATGTCAGTTTAAATCATAAACTCCCCCATTATAAAATTTTCATTATCGGTATAAAGTCACCAACAAATCGACCAGTTATAAGAACCCAGCAGTTTCACAAGGATTCACGGTATCCCTTTTAGACAGTATTATTTCTAAATGTTTTAATGCTTCGTTATCATGGATTTATAAAATGCCGTAATCTAGAGAGTAAAATCCATAATTTGGGAAAGCCATACCGAACTACAGGGAAATAAAGAAGCCGGAAATGATGATGATTATGTTGGGAAAGTGTGCTGTGTTGATTTTGTATTAGACAACAATAATAACAACAATAGAAATAAATAACAATAATGTTGAATATTGTTCAAATTCATAAAAAAATTAAAAAATAAATGATTAAAACACTTGGCTTCTTCCATTCTCGGAAGGCTATATATTATTGAGTATGAGCAGAAGAGATTGTCAATAATGAAAAAAAAATTGTAAATACCCTTCATAACATTGTGAGTGATATCTCATGATTAAAAAGCCTATGTCTTCCTAGTTGGACATTCACCCAGAGAGGTTTACATTCGACTACAGTTTTCATTGTTTCTTTGACTCTGGTGTATTGTGATGTATTAGTTGTCAGAAATTTACTCAAAAAGTCTTTGGATTTAAATTGATCATAACGTAACACTTTTTTAAAAAGATCCCAAGGTAGCGAAGGCGTGTCCTTCACTTTAAAATCCCTGCGTCTGGCTTTATACAGGACACTTCTTTTAAGAGAATCCAAAAGGGAATAATTCTCTACTAAAAAGGACACCCCGGGAGCATGTTACCTTGATGAAAGACACCTTTTTGGTGTGATTGCAATCCGGGGAAAAGAGATGCGACCAGTACCTTTAGTCTGCCGGGACTATAAACTGGTGATGATAAAATGTATCCTCTTCCTTTCCTTGGAATGATTTGACATGGGGTCGAACCACATAATCTGGAACTACGGGAACCGGTAACCAGTGTCCCGGTTATTAGAGAGTTCCTTTCGGGTGCACGTGGTGGCAGTGGTTTAAACTCAAATTCGCTGGTAAAGAATGTCAGTTAAAAGACTGGTGTAATCTATAATTCTGGATAAGTTCGGTGCTGTTGCCAAAGTCAATGAAGAGGTATACGGATCTTATCTGCCTATAGCTAGAGTGAGTGTGTTAGGTATTGTTCTCTATGGGTGTGTCGAATAAATGAGAAGTGTGCTGGGTTGAATGGTGATGTATGAATGGTATCTTATACAAGTGATACCATTGAATTTTTCTTCCTTGTCCAGGTATGTTCAGGAAAACTCTGTTCATATCATATTTACCAGGGTGTTCTCTGTGTGTAAGAACAAAGTCCTTAGCTAATTAATAGATTCGAGTTTCGTTTACCGAATACGTCTCTAGGTGCTGCTCAACAGCGGCCATCCCATCAGTGTGGTTGCAAACGGAAGTGATGCTTTTACATCTCGGAAGTAAAGCAACGCGGCGGCAGAACCATGAACAAATATTGTCACCTGCGTGTAAGATATACAAAGGGGCGGTGGTGAGTCGTCAAAGAATCTCACTCTGTGGTTGAAAATGGTGTTCACGTAAAGCTCTTCGACATCTATACAGAAAAGGAATTCCTAACATTTTAAAGATGTCATAATGTCTATGGACACTGGACAAGAATGTCGAAGTGCTTTACGTGAACACCTGCCATGTTGGCCTATTTCATGGTGGTCTTTTTCATCCACAGGGTGAGTTAAAATATAACGACTCACCACCGCCCCTTTGTGTATCTTACATGCAGGTGGCAATTTACGTATATAAGTACTCGAGTTGTCTAATCTCTTGCCATCGAAGTCCCGTTGAGGAAGAACAGGCGTCATGAGCAAGTTCAATCTAACCCTGACAAAGGAAAACCCTTATATGTTGCTCAACCACACTACTGAGATGGCTCTGTTGATTCGGCAACAGCACCTAGGGGACGTAATTGGTAGTCCGAAACACGGATAATTTTAATTGACAAGCTTTATTTCAGTGGCCACAAAGGGCCACTGTGATAAGTTGAGCATGCTTTAGAGTAAACTCTAACACACTCAACCATGAAGGAAAATCCCCGATAAATTAAAGAAAGGGCAGTGATGACCTTGCAGCACATCATAAGCCGCAATCACTCCATCCGTCAAATCCATCAAATTACTCCATCCACTTTATCTAATCAGAATAAACATCAGAAATCACCAGAAATACTCCACCTCGTATACCCACATCTTTGCATTATCAGCTCAAATCTAACATTTTATTAATCTGTAGTTTGTACCGCTCCTAGCATCTAGGAACGATAACAGAAATTCATCATGAAAATTATATTTCACCATGTATCAGTCTTTTAACCAAGCACCTGCGATTTAGGTTTCAACCACAGCCACTACGTGGATACCGAAGGAACCTCAACCAACTGACCAGCCAGGACAAGTGCTGTGGGCAACTGGCCACCCGTAGTACCAATTGATCAGCCATATCAAGCTCTTCCAAGATCGTCCAATATTTTTCTATGGATTTGTAACGCCATTTTCATGCGACCTGAACTTCGACGTCAATCTGAATGTGACTTCAGGTTGAATCGCATTATTCTCGACATAGCAAAAAGTTCTCACATGTTTCAAATGTTTACTATGGACTAGACTGGGTTCAAAGTGGAGCGATGAGTTTTGTAGGAGTCACGGGTTGTATTGGCTATCTATAATGAAACGTTCATTCCTAATTGATTAGTTCTCTGAAAGCACTTCGTATTTTAGGCAATTTTTTTTCGGTCGAACTATAAGATTAGTTAGCACTTTTCCAGGACATACCCGACTACAATGTGGGCAACTGTTGATGATTTACTAGAGTATACTGATCAAAAATATTCATTCGTATTTAACTCTTTAATAAATTTATTAAACCCAATAGTAAAAATTTAATATTTTTATGTAATTTTCTTGAAATAAATATTGAATGTTTTCTTTGCTTTATTTTCCGCACAAAAATTTCAAAAACCCGAACCTGAATTTCAGTTTGAGGTGTACGTCAGATATTAATACAAAATTACTTTATGAAAGTAAGTCTACCATAATAATAATTATTTCGTATGTATAAATTTTATATTGCGTAACGTAACGTAATGATAAGTGTATGAATGTATGGAAGTGTTTGCAATGAAAATGTGTGTTATTGTTAGACCCCAACTTGAAAATAGACTTTCATTATCACTGTCACATTTTATTCAAGTTGAGTGATTTCAATCTGTCACTTGATGAACATGAACATGAGGCTACAGCTACAACAGCACAATTACAACAAATCAACATTAGTGTGTGTTGTCGTTTGTGTATTTTCTTGTCTACTACTTTTTGTTTTTTTTTTTTTTTGGTACTTGTGCGTATTTTTACGCTTGATTCCACCCTCGAGAGTTTGTTTGTTTTTATTTTTGTTGTTATTGCTGCTGCTACGAATTTAAGTCCATATGGCAGCATTAACTAAAAAAAATTTGCAAACATTTTTTATCACAAAATAAAAACAAGCGTAGTTTTTGTAGTTATGTTATTTTATAGGTTGGTAGGTTGACAATATTTATTCACTTTTTATAACACGATGTCTTAAATTTTTTTTCCAAGTATTTTTTCTTTAACTTTAATAAAGTAATTAAGCATAGTGTAAAATTGCTATGTTTTAGTGGCTACTAAGTTAACATTTATTAAGTAACATCCGGTAGGTCTTCCGTCAAATGGATCCAATTTTATAATCCATTACGATGAGGTTAGTGCAAGCACAATGGGTGATTTATTTCTCACTTTAAATTAAACAATATTTAAGATTTTAGTAAAAATGGTGTTATAATTCCTTTATTTGTTGGAAAATATATTTTTTAAAAACAATTTTAGATTATTATTAATATTTTCGGTATTTCAAAATATGTTATTCTTTATCAATTGTTGCAACTTACAGCTACAAATATATAAAATGGTTAAATAATTTCATTGAGTTTTTTTTTTTGTTTTGTCTAAAACTAGATTAGTTGCATATATTTAGTAAAATTCCATAAAAACGCCTAAAAAAATATTAAATATTTTTGCAAAAATAAAAAGAAAACAAAAACAATACATTGTAACTAAGTAATAAAACAAAAAAGCAATATAAGTTTTTTTTAACAAAAAATGCATAAAGTTTTTAAATAATAAAAATAATAATAAAGTTTAAAAAAAGAACAGTAATACTTGTAAAAAGAATAATAAAAAAGAGGTAAAAAATCATAATAAACATTAATTAAAGAAAAATGTAAAAATTAAATATATTTTTTGTTTATTTCTATAATAATATCAAATAATTATGAGATATTTCATTAAGTAGTATATAATAAGAATAAGAGTAATAATAGTATGTTTGTTTGTATATTTATGGTCATATATAAAGAATGTAAAAGGATCACGACTCAATAGTATTCACACACATTCAAAAAGTTTACAATATTTTTGAAATACATAGTTTTGTTTTTTTTTAAAGTTAAGAAATGAATTCATTTAATAGCTACTAATTATAATAATAAAAAAGAAAAAAATAATTCGAGAGTATTGTAGATAAAAAAAGAGGCAGTCGTTATTCATTCCATGTTAGAAGAATAAATAAATTATATCCAGCACCTTTCTAAAAGATGTTTAGTGTTAATGGTTTCAAAGATTTTGAATTCCAAAGAAGAGTAGAAGGAAGCAGTAAACAAACAATAGCATTTTATGTATTTTCCTTGAGCAAAGCAACCAAATGATTCTTTTTGGCTTTATCCGATTTACTATATTCATCCAAAAACTAAAAAATACGAACAAAAATTAAAATAAATTTAAATTTTGTGTCTAAGTTGAAAACTTACCTCTAAATTAAAATCACGTGATATCACATTACGAGCTTCCTGATTTTGGAACGTAACAGTTACTAGACATGGATAAACCACCACATTCAAATGTTCGGGTAGTTTAGTTAAATTCTTAATTATATTGGAACATTGTTCAGAGGTTAAAAGATCCTGTAAATGATAAACATTTAAATAATTTTAATTTAGAAAACTTTAACTTGAAAAAAAAACTTACCTGATTTTGTTTATTATTAGCACAAAAGAAACCGATTGTTGCAATTAAATCAATTAAAACCGCCTGGGTTTCACTATTTTTAGCTGCCGTCGTTTGATTGCCACAATATTTGAGTAAAATTTGCACCACATCAAGAAACTTCAATGAGATCGCTTCACTGGACATCACCTCCTGTGGGTAAATAAGAGAAACAAAATGAAAATATAAATAAATAAAATGAAACTAAAAAAAATAAATCTTTAAATTCCTGCTGAAATATCTAAAAAACAATTTTCTTGAAAACTTTTCAAGTGTTTGTTTGTCAGTTCAATTGGTCTCTTTGGATTTAGAGTTGTTGAAAGGAAATTAAAACATATTTCAGTTTTTGAGATGAAAAACATTCGATACCGAACAAGAAATATTAAATATTTTAGCTGAATTTCGATATCGAAATATGTGGCCGTAATTCGGCCTTTGATTTATGAACAACAGCTAAAGCTCTTAACATTGCTTTTGAGTGTGACGGTTAAGCTAAAAGGAACAGCACGAAATTATTAATTTAATGAGTTAGAGTACTATATTCGGCTATGCCGAATCTTAAATACCGTCCACCTGCAAGCTACTTTTTATTAAAACCCATTTAACTATCTAGTTTTTAGATAACTGGGCATAAGTTTTGTTTTCGTAGTGTTAGTACTATCATTTAGTAATTTCTTTATGCATATATGGAACTTATTTTAATTAGGTCGAAAAAAAAAAATTATTTTAAGTGATTTTGTCAGATATACTTTTAAACGATGTTGTTGGCTTTATATGAGTGCCACGACCTTTAACGGATCAATTGGAAAACATTTTAACATGTTGAATTTTATCCGAATATAATCATTTAATAATGAATTATGTGGTATTAAGTGATTTTCAAAAGTGAACCTTATTTGGGAGCTATGACTATTTATGGACCGATCCGGAAAAAAATCAGTATAGTGATTTATATGTATATACACAAATCATATTCAAGTATTTCACCCCAATACCTTTATTAGTTAATGAAATATGTGCGTTTAAGTGATTTTCGGAAGTTGACCCTTATATGGGAGCTATTACCAATTACGGCCTATCCGGAATAAATTCGTAGCGTGATTGATACATATACAAAACATAAGCGTGCAAAATTTTATCTCCATAGCTTTATTTATTAATGAAATATGCGCGTTTAAGTGATTTTCGAAAGTGGACCCTATGTACGAGTTATGACCCATTGTGGACTGATTCAAAAAAAAATCGCTGAATGATTTATATATAAACAAAACATATTCATGTCGAATTTTACCCCGATAGCTTTATTAGTTAATGAAATATGAGCGTTTAAGTGATTTTCGGATATGGACCTAATATGGGAGCTATGACCAATTATGGACCGATTCGGAAAAATTTTCGTAGAGCTGAATTATACATACACAAAACATATTCATGTCGAATTTTATATCGATAGCTTAATTTATCAGTGAAATATGCACGTTTAGTGATTTTCGGAAGTGGGCCTTATATGGGAGCTATGACCAATTGTGGACCTATACTAATCTATGTTGGATTTCTGTTCATATTATATTTATATGTATGTGCAAAATTTTGAGTTGATACTAATATATTTGAGGAAGTTATTAACGATAAATCCATTTCTGGAAATATGTACCTTTGTATGGGGCCTATGGGAAATTTTGGATCGATTGTTTTGATTTTCAACATAATTGATCCCTGGGTAAATTATTTTTTGTAGTTTCTGAGAAAATCACTTAATAATTACGAAAATAAAGTAATTTTTATCGAGGTAGTCTAAAATTTTTATTCAAAACTTTTACTAGTTGTGAACCGATTTTGCTGATTTTCAATACAAAACTGCTTTGGACAATGGACACAGCTAAATCGACTTAGAATTTCATAAAGACTTTGTTGGGTCTCAGATGAATATTTCTTGGTGTTACACACGGAATGACAAACTTATATATACCCTCTATTACCACTGATGGTGGTGGAGGGTATAATAATTATATTATTTTTCCAAAACTTAAATAACATTTCGTAACAGTGTGCCATATTAAAACTCAAATCTTTGGCTACTTATAATTTATAAATTCCTTTTATGGAAGCATCACAAATTGTATGTATTAGACTACATTTGCCACATAACTTCCTCCAGCATACAAATGTTTCCAGTTTTACAAAAATAAAAAAATACATAACCAAACAAATCGAAAAGAATAACAAAGATTTTAACTCTATTTCTTTACTTAACTCTTGTAAAATTTTTCAAACGTAAAAAATCTGCTGAAAATTAAAAATATTTTAAGTGTATTCACAGTTGTGTATGTTAATGTTTGTATGAATACACTTAAAAAAAATTCAAATAACTTTTATTGAACCTTATAAAAGGTCAAAGGACAGCAATTCTATGGAATTTTTTTGAGTGTATTGCTGCATATTCTTTACTAACATTTGTTTATTTAACATTATTCTTTCTGTTCACACATGTTGGTGGCAAAGTTTAGAATTTTAGATTTGTTTGCAAAGTTATTTTTTCGGGGAATTTATATATAGAAAAATCGAAAATAGAACAAGTAAAAACTGTATTTAATTGATTGGCTTTAATTTGATTTTTATTTATAAAACATAAAAGTAAAATGGTTTAGTGCAACAAATGGTAAAACTTACATAAAGATTGAAAGGAGTGAAGTGTTTCCCACAGCTTTAAATACTTCGTCAATTTAAAGCTTTTTTGGGACTAGAAAATGTATTCAATCCAGCATATTCTTATGACTAGATCAGTGTTGCTCAAACACATACCACCATAGATTACCATAGTTTTATTTGTGTTGGTAAAGCAGCAGAGAACAGAATTCAATTCAAAATAAAAGTATACGAATAAAATGACTACAAACTATAAAGTATATGCTAACTGTCAAATATTTATTACGGATTTTGACAGCCAGCGTATATCAAAGTCTATATATAAAAAACTGTCAACTGTTCTCTCACGTTCTCCTACATTAATTCGGCTTTCTCAAAATTTTGTTGTTGTATTTCTGTGTGTATTTTAAAAACGTCGCGCACAGACCTCGCTTCGAGAAGTGCTGATCAGCAACTGATTTGATTTTGTTTTTCCAGTTGAGAGAAAACCAACTGATATTGCTCATTATAAAAAGAAGAAGAATTAAACCTATAGTGTATGTGTACCAACTTAGCGTCAGAAGAATTTTCTTACCCTATCACGCGTGCTATGTAATGGCAATATTGAGCTCCTCTGGACTAGATCATAAAGATATTCTACTGTTTAATCCTTCAAATTCTCATCAATAACTTCTCTATATAAAACCGAAGACGTCCAATGCTACACTCAGAAACAGTAAGGCAAGTGGTCAATCAGTGGCGGGAAATGAAACATTACAAGAACTACTGGACACACATTTCCAGTTCAACTTGCCATTGGAAGGTCAATGGTTAGACCTTATATTAATGATCAACATCCTCTCGGAATCAACGAGGATAAGATACACTTAAGGGCCCTTCAGACGATCACACTTTACGTACGACAAGTCTAATGAAAAGGTAAAATGGAATTCCATCCGTATGACAAGAAAGAGAATAAAAGTCGTATGATTTATATTTTTGGTGTTTACACGATTAGTATAAAACAATAACAAAGTAAGATGGAAACAGCTGTTTCACTTTTTTTGTATGTGTTTACATAAAAATACATTCCTGATCTAATGCGACTTGCTTGTTTTTTGAATAATTTCAAAAAATACAGAGAGCCATACGACTGTCAAATATTTCATCCGTATTTTCTCTCAATGTGTGATGATTTCGTTACATATTGCGTTTAGACGATCCCATCCGTTCTCTTCTACACAAAATTTTGACAGATCATATTACTTGTGTGCTCGTGTGAAGGGGGCTTTAGTAATCGAAAGTTTTTATCTGACTTGTAACATAAGTTGTGTTTTGTTGCTAACGTTCAAAGGCAATTTCATATAAATTTAAAATTTATAAACGTTAGGAGTTAACGTGTAAAATTATACAAGTTAATTTTAACGTTGATAAAAGTGCTACCAATTCAAAAATAAAAATACAAATATTAATGTGTTTATGTCAAACAATAAAAAAATATTTTAAAATAAAATTTAAATCAAAGAAAATTACCAAATAAAAAAACCTTTTCAAGAAATTGTAAATAATTTCAAGATTTAGCAGATTTCTTCTGTGGAGTGATGCCAAGTCAGGTAAGAGTGAATATCCTGGCATCAACTCTTATTTTCCCATCAATATTAAGAGCGCATCCCTTGAAACCGCCATGATATGCTCGAAGCTTTGGACGAAATTTCCAAGGGAATCACATTTCAAGGGGTGTATTTTCTCTATTTTTTGACTATTTGGCTACTTGTCTGCTCATGAAATAGGATTCTCCGAAATACACCTCTCTATTATCTATATGGATGACCGCTACGGCATCCCTATCCCTAAGCTGGGAACGCAATTTTATCTAATTTTGTGGCTATTTGTTTACTCGTCTGCTCATGAAATAGGATTCTCTGAAATACACCTCCCTATTATCTATATGGATGCCGTAGCGGTGGCAGTATATCCATTTAAACACGATATCGCAAAGACTCGAAGATCCTTTCAAAATACTAATTTGATATAATGTCGACATTATTATATTACAGAGTCTTTACAATGTCTTTGATAATGCACAGTATCGCGCTCCCTAAAACTTTTATAGTAGCACTAGATTTATAATATCGATAAACACTAGATTGGAGGGAAATCTTTCTCCAAAAAGCCTTTATTTAAAAGAGTGTGCGTAGAGCGTCGTTTTCATTCTAACTGGCTATGGTATTACAAAATATAGAATATTTAAAGTAAAATATTTACGGACAGTCAAGCTGAAATCAAATCCTTCACCAATGAGCACCACATCACAATTAGTCCGGGAATGCCGGTCACCAGGATGGCGAGAAATTCAGCAGTCGTACTATAATGTATTATATTGGCTACTGTATTTATGATGAATTGTCGAAGACAAGCGCCTTGATTTCCGATGTTGAAAAATCTCTAGATGAAAGTTTTATGTAATCTCTCAAACAAGATAGAGAATTGAATTATTTTGTGCATAGGGAAAATATGGCCAAAGCTAG